AGCAGCAGCTTCACCTAGCTGCTGTCTTTCTTCTCCAGTTCACCTTAGGAGGATGAATGGACGGCAGAGGCATCGGGGATGATGCAGCACATGGGGGGCAAAGCAGATGCAGGAGCTTCTTCTAAGCATGCAGCCCCTTTCCCCCTAGTTCAAGGGCCTACTGTACCCAGGTAGCTCATAACCTCATGAGTGGTGGAGTGAGCCGGTGTGTGGAGTTGGAACACCAGGATTCCATGGTGTCAGGGCATTTTCTTCAGGAGCAGTTGGAGATGGAGGCCCTGGCCTTTATTTCAGGAAGCATCAAGCCAGGGGAGGAACTGGGAGGTTGCAGAGGAGAAAAGAGACCCCCATGAGAGTGTGCTAGGGATGGCAATAACACCATCCACACTAAGGGCATCCAAGACTGGTGAGCACTGGCAAGGCAATAGGAATAGTTGGATTTGAGGCCACCACGCCACCACTCCTGCCGCAAACAGCCCCTCCACCTCTCTCTACACCCCTGCCAAGGCTCAAGCTCATACCCACCAGACCCTTTCTGAAACTAAATCAAAAATCTCCAGATAGTTAATGAAAATTTTACAGAGCAACACGTTGAACCATTGCCACTTTAGGGCTGAGTGGTGCTACAAAGGATGAAGCAGACAGAAAAGGAGCAAAGTACTGGGGTATGGAATTTGGGGGTACCACAGCGGGAGTCCTAGGAATCCCTGTAACAACCTCCACATGTAAAGCGTTTTTTATGGCATGTGTACACTGAAACACTAAGTAAACCCCAAGTGGACAAAGATAGGGCTCCTTCCCTTGAGGAGCTCATAAAAGATTCTAAACTCATAATGCTGCTATTCAAATGCAGTCAACGCTATGACAGAGACTTGCACAAAGGACTGTGGAGATATGAGAAAAGCACCCCTCTATTTTAAAAGTTTGATATCAGTGCATACAATGAGAGTTTTAGCTAATGGGTCTCCTTTTCCTTTACCATCCCTACTCCTCAGGCGTTCTAAGGGGTGAAAAACTTATCAAAGCAAGTTGCCCATGCTGGACATCTTGCCATCCTCCTGCTTCAGCCTCCCAGAGTGTTAAGAAATAATATTCTTACAGGTTTCACCACCTTTACCATAGGATAAGTCCTCTCTGACCCAGGAAAGCTGGCATTTCCCTGCCTGAGTACCTTGCATCCAGGAACCTTCTTGTATCCAGCCAAGTGGTCTTTCTTCTTCCTACATGCCCACTCCTCCCACCCACAATGCTCCAGACGTGCAGAGGGCCTTCGCTTACGAAGCTTCAAACCTCTTCCTGGCTCACACCTTCACCCCAACCTGCCTCTCGCCCAGCCAGGGGGCTCCTACTCATTGCTGGCTTCCGACCTCAAGGCCCACCAGCCCGCAGAGCAGCACAGAAAGGGGCTCAGCGCAGAGGTTGCCAGGCCCTCCCCAGGGCAGGAAGGAAGGCTGCACCCACCTCTGGGCGTTTGGTGGTGACTCACTGAGGAGAGTGAACTCCCCCACACCGGACGCAGGGAAGACAAAAGTCCTTCCATTACAGGGACTTACTTCAAAGCCTCAAACCATAGGCAACCAGCAGCTCTTTCCAAATTCCCCTTCCTGCCTGTCCTACAGCCACAGTAAATGTCAAATTCGTCAAAGCACCAAGACCTTAAGCATGGAGTTTTTCCTCTACGTTCTATGAAAACATTTTCATTTGGTTTCCTCCAAGTCATTCCTCCCTGCAGTTTCCCTCTGAGGATTTAAGGGCCCCCCAAGCACCTAGACTGATCTCTTTCAAGGGACTTCATGCAATAATTCCCAATTTATCTAGCTGCATCCCCTAAAAGCTTTTAAAAGTTCCTTGAAGCCCAATATTCTTGTCTTGCGCAAGGTTGTGTTCCCAGCCCTTTGTAATTGAGTCATCATGGATGCTTGGTTAATATGTGCTGAGTTGAAAAGAAGTGAAAATCAAACTACAGAAATAGTATTCTTACAAGAAGGTGGAGGGAGGAAGGGAATACGAGGAGTTGTTCTCTTGCATTTTTTTTTAACCAGCCGTTGACTACCTAAACCAGTGTTTCTCAGTGTGTGCTCCCGGCCTAACAGAATTTTCACCATCTGGAAACTTCTTAGAAACACGGATTCTTGGTTCCATCCAAGAAGTATTGGTTCAGAAACTCAAGGCATTGAGTTCAGTGATTTCAAACAAATCAGATCTCTCAAGTGTTTCCAACACATGCCCAAGTTTGAGAACAAGTGCCATAGTCCTATAGCCAAGCTCAGGTCATAACATGCAGCCACATGAATATTAAAAATCAAGAAAACTTTACATTCATATCGAGATTTTCAGCTAACCATGCATGTCATCTTCACCCGCATCTTCTTACAGGTCAGTAGCAGGTGTAACCAGAAATTTGTTAAGCTCCATTCAGTAGCTACAAATCTTATGGTTGAAAAAAAAGCAAAACAAAACAAAACAAATAAAACCACTTTCTCAAATGATAAGATTAAATCAAGTAGAGACAAAGGAGAAACCTATAAAATAAAGCCCCAGAGAACTCACAGTTCAGGGGCCAGAGATGGGACCACAAAGACATTGGAGATGTGGTAATAACCTTCAGGAGGGTTCCTGAAGGATTGAGTACCTAAGGATATCAAGGAGTCCTTCCTCACAATTAAGGCAGTAGCCTGTACATCTTGCATTGGAGAAATAGGGCAATAGGATAGTTCCCCCACCAAAGGAAAAATATTCAACTCATGCCCCCAAGAAGTTGTATTTTTTTAAACTGCTAAAGGGAAGAACCCCCAACTACAAGATCCCTTGCTTTCAAATAGAGATTATCTTATAAACACCTAGGCTGGGTGGACACAGCAGCAAAATTTCTGGGAAATGGGAACAAAATTGCACCCTAAAGGTCTTGCCTGCATGTGGGTAGCTGTTTGGCACCCTCTGATGTTCAGTATTTGGATGAAAAAGAGCTGAGAAGATGCATGCTGGTAAGTGGTGCATTCCACAAATGGTAGTGTAGTCAGTGAAGGGGACAGGGGAACAGGCTCACGCGTGGAGAGGGGTCACTTAGCTGCCATCTGGAATATGATGAAAGCCCCTCAGACAACACCAGCTCCGGTGGAAAAGCGTTCAGTGGGACCTGGAATGTGAAGCTGTACCCAAGTTCACCCAGTGGCCTCCACCAGGACGATGGACCGTCATGTCCCTCATGCTGGATGTTTAGCCAGCGGGTATTTCTTCCTGCCTTTCTGCCCAGGGCAGAAGCTTATAGGCCTTTTTTGTTTTTAAGGGAAATTGACTGTTCTGCAGAAGACAGCTTGGGCCCCTGAGGAGACGTTTCGAGGCAGATCTGAATGTGCTAAGTCAGTGGGGGATAATGGGCACTGTGTGCCCAGCAAAGCCACTTCCCACGCTCGGCCATAAATAGTCTTAACTGGCTCACATGGAAAACCTGTGTGACACTTCCTTCCCCCCTGCTGCTCCCTCTCACTTCCATCCCCCACCGACCCAGGGTTCTGATCACCTCCCAGCCAGCTCCCCCAAATTACTGCCCTGGTGTGAAAAAACACTTTTCATACCTAAGCCACAGCACCTTCAGCACACGTGTGCAGGGCCAACCCCGTGCTTCCAAGGCCAGCTCTGGCCACAAAATAAGGGCTCCCTCCAGAAACTGCACTGAGCTGAGCCCTTAATGTTGGTTAGGTCCTGACGCCTCATATAAGTCATTCAAATCATATAAATCAAGTCACCCAAAGTCTCCACATGTAGTTCTTCAGTGGGAAAATAAAGATCTTTGTCCTGAAATTAGCCTGACATAGTTCCAGCGATTTTATAGAGCTGAGTATGTTAATCTCATAGATACTTTCCCCCTTACCTTGAAGCCTGCACATATGCTGTTCCCCTGCCTGGAAGTTTCCCACCTGTCCTCTCTTGGCTAGCACCTCTTTGCCTTCAGTCTCAATTTAGACACTTCCAGGAACCCTTCTATGGGTCCCTGACCGGGTCCACATCCCCTCTCCAGATTCCCATAACCCTCTATGTGCCCCAGAAGAGGTCTTGAGAGGTGTGCATTGACTGCTTTCTGGGCTGGGCTCTTACTGTCATAAACTCTGTGAGACCAGAACAGATATCCAGTCTTATCCAATCTGCCTTTTTCACCTCAGCATCTGTCTAACCTGCTCCAGTGCCTGTCATACACTAGACACTCAGTAAATAAGGGTCTGACTAGATGTATGAAACACAGACTGGGGCCAGAGGGCAGAGGCCAAGTTGGAAACACAGCTAAAACTTGGCTTATTTCATGGCTTGTCTGTGTGCTGTACAATTTGCCTACAGTGTGAGGTAGCAGTCCTGGTACCCCCTTGGGTACATCCTGGTGAGGTCTCTGCTCATTGTTTGCAGGGTTCTGATTGTTAGAGGAGAACAAAACCTTCGGGGTCACTCAGGTGGGACACCCCCAGACAGGTTCTGTTCTACTCTGAGCCAGCTTAGCCAGAGGAGCTCTGCTTCTATTCTTCTGTGTTTCTGATTATGTTTTAGAATCTGCCTTGGGTTTAAGAGAAGAAAGACAGATGGGAAAACTCTGATTTCACCCTGTGCCCTCATTTTACAGAAAAGGAAAGGAATCCCAGGACAGAGACGGGATTTCTTCCCCAAGGCCACCTGGCTGAGTATCAGTGTAGAAGGACTCTGAGTCCTCCCCTTTTACATGCTTTTTCAGAGGGAGGAAGAAGATGGGGGTTGATATTTGGGGTGAAAGGCTGAGGGTCTGACTCAGACTCAGTCTTCCCTGATCATGATGTACCCATCTGCAGCCATCATATAGTTGGGGGATATAAGGTCTCCCTACCATCCATGCCACAATCCCAAGGAAGTGAGAAGCACCTGCTCAAGAGCTCACAGTCATGGCCACACACACACACAGCACCCACACTCATGGCTACTTCTCACCCAATCTCCCTGCTTGGCGCTGACAGCTGTCCCTGGGAATATTGTCATTTTAGGCCATGGAGGGCTGAACCAGCTGGGAGGGGCCTTTGTGAATGGCAGACCCCTACCGGAAGTGGTCCGCCAACGCATCGTAGACCTGGCCCACCAGGGTGTGAGGCCCTGTGACATCTCTCGCCAGCTCCGTGTCAGCCATGGCTGTGTCAGCAAGATCCTTGGCAGGTAAGCACGAAATTCACCACACACCACCTGCCCCATGGGGCTTGCCTTCTGGTGGGAGAGATGCCCTCATAGCCACAAGCCCAAGCACCCTTCTAGAAACTATGGGTCTGCTCCTAATATCAAGCTATGGTCCTGAGAACTGAACAGGCTGAGTGGGTGGGCCTCCTCTTGTCACTGCTCTTCTGCTGTTCTGCTATAGCTTCCTTCCTCTGTTGTCTATTTCTTCTTTCTTTTGGTTCTTCTCTCTTTTTACTTCCAATCCATGTGGATCCTGCCATGTACTCCTGAGGCAGGAGAATCCTTCCCAATGGTCCTTTCCCCACTGAGAGCTGGGAAAATGAAATCACTGGTGAAGAGACAGTCAGAGTAGGCTCTGAAGTCTGAGAGCTTCAGGAGGAATGTCTAAGTTTGGGCATTTCCCTCAGTGTCTGCCACAGAAGTACTAGGGTAGTTTGGTAAAATTCAGACTCCCAAGTCCAAGCAGCTCCTCTGAATCAGTTTCTCAGGGGCCAGGGCCTGTATGCTGTGATGCTTATGAAGTGGCCAGGCAACACTTAGGAACACTAAGGATTGAGAACTGTCAATCTATAGCTCCAGCCATATCCAGGGAACCTTAACTTAAACAATAATACAAAATCAGGGTCTAGGCTCCAGCCCAGAACAATTCAGGAAAATAGGCCCAAGTTTAGTTATAGTGCTGGTCACCTGTCCTCCAAATGATTCCAGTTCTCTGCATCTAGGGCTGAAAATGGCTGACCCAAAGATCAGGCAGGACCACATGGTCTCAACCTCCACATAGTCCAGCCTGCAGAATTAGAAGTGACCCTGCACCAGAGCACTCGGGTCTTTGACTCAGCTCCATGCCCCTGTTCCCTTCTTCCAACCCATGTGTAGACACAGGGGCTGTGCATGAACCATGGAAAGGCCTGGCTCTTTGCCTGATTCAGTCAGGGAAAAATGTGGCCTTTTGCTGGGGTCAAGAACAGGGGACTCCCGAGATAGGCTGTGAAGTCCCAAAGAGATGAGCTCTAGATGCCAGTAGCAAGCAAATGGAGTTTTAAAGAGCTCAGTATGGCAGAAGAGAGCTAAGTGCTTCTGCAACCAGGAAGGAGGGTATTGCGTCCCAGGCCAAGGGTCTGTCAAAGCAGCTAGTTGGTGGGGGAGGGAGAGAAAGGGGAAGAGAGAAGGCCAGTTTAAAGGGCTGGACCTGGATAGGGATCTGGAGGCTAGAACTCCAGAGTCCAAGAGGAGGAGGTTCAACTTGAACTACGTGACCTGCAGACACGAGTGAGTGAGGTTGAAGGATATGGCTCAGACTCGGGCAGGACAGGGAGCAAAGGTGGACCAGCAAGACAAGGCAAAGGCCCAGTGACCCCAGCTAGCTTCTCAGGGAGCGGATAAACTCAGGATGGCCGAAAGAACCTCAGTTGTGCTTTAGCCAAGAGAAACTGAATAGAGGAAACCACCTCTGTGAACCTGCAATTCCCACGGCACCTAATCCAAGATGTCCTTTTGTGCAAGGGACATCTCTTGTGTCTCACTTGATGACCCTGTAAATGCAGATACAGAGGACAGGCCAGAGGGATGGGAAGGACAAAAGCCAGGGGAGAGCTTTTTTAGCCAAGGGTGCTGGCTTGGCCCCAGTGTAAACCTACCCAAGCAAGGGAAACAGGCAGTTCTGGGAACGTAGTGTTTGAGGCCAGCCTCAGGGCCTTCTCGCTCTCGTACCCCTTTCCCAGAAGCCTCCAAGGGCAGAGAGTTTCTGGCTAAGTCCCTCCCCGAAGACCCCACCTGCTTACTGGGTAATTCTCCGGGATTCTCTATTGGAGTAGGTACTACGAAACTGGCAGCATCCGGCCTGGAGTGATCGGGGGCTCCAAGCCCAAGGTGGCCACCCCCAAGGTGGTGGAGAAGATTGGGGACTACAAACGGCAGAACCCCACCATGTTTGCCTGGGAGATCCGAGACCGGCTCCTGGCTGAAGGTGTCTGTGACAACGACACAGTGCCCAGTGTCAGCTCCATCAACAGGTGAGGGACAGAAAGCCTCAGGTTTTAGGGAGCACCTTGAAAGAGACCTGAAGAAGGGCCCAGCTGGGGTGCAGCAGGTGCTGGAAGGGCCTTAAGCTGCAGAGTCAGGCAGGCACACGCGCAGGCCCACTGACGTCACCTCTCCCTGCCCACACACCATGGTGTGCTAGCTGCAGCTTCCTTCCTCAAACACCACATCCTCCTTCCCTTAACGAAAGAATCCTCTTGACTTCAACTTTTCTTGACACCTCACCTGGCCCTCATTCGAGCATTGAAACATTTGTTTAGCCCTTGAATTATTCACACACTACCTCAATCAATCATTTACTCATGCATTCATTCACACAGAATTCACTCCTTTATTATGAAGTAGGCCCTGGAGACACATAGGCCCTGTCCTTGGGGAGCTTACAGTCTAATGGGACCACAGACATGAATCAAGTACCCACACAAACACCTCAAAGTCCCACCAAGGAGAGGAACAAGAAGGTATGTGATCTCGCAAAGGCTAACTTGGTTTAGGGAGGTTAGGAAAGGCTTCCTCTATGCAAGAAACAGTGAGTAAGAGTTAACAAGGTGAGAAGCGGGGCAAAAAGAGTACTGAGATAGCATATGTTAATAGGTTCTTTTACAGGAAGCTGAGAGTCACTAGGCAGAAAGGGAATATGAGGTACATTGAGGTAGGCGATGACCACAGAGCCCGCCCTTTAGGGGTTGGTGGCCATGTTACCTATTCTTGCCATTCACCAATGAGCAATGGAAAACTCTTGGCAAATTTTAAGCAAGAGATTGACATGCATTTCAAAAGCCCATTGTGGCTATAATAACATCAACTGGAAAGGGTCAAGAGCAGATGGGGTGATCAGTGAGTGAGCCTAGAAAGACAGTGTTGGTGATGGTGCACACCAAGGTATTGACAACGGGGTGCAAAGAGGAGTCAACCCTGGAGAGATGACCAAGGTCAAACCCACAGAACCTGGTGATGCGTTTGACAGAGAATCAAGGGAAACTGATATAGTTCTGCCTTGAGCAACTCATGGTCCCAGTCATGAACCGAGGACACAATGATGGTGGACTATATGAGTTAGAGCAGCCTTGGAGATACTCAAGTGAGATATCAGAGAGGTGATTGGTCTGGGGCAGCCACAGTCTTGTTTCCTTCCCCTTTCTCTATGGGCCTTTCTGCTCTTCCTACAGAATCATCCGGACCAAAGTGCAGCAACCTTTCAACCTCCCCATGGACAGCTGCGTGGCCACCAAGTCCCTGAGCCCGGGACACACACTGAGTGAGTGCTGCGGCACCTGGATGCTCACACACCCCTCACACACACCCCACCCGTGTACCACACAGACGCAGAGACACATAAACACACCCAGGAACTCAGAAGCCGATGCGTGGGCTGAGCTGTTACAGTGCGATAGGGCCCAGCCTGGCTTCCTAAGCTGCTCACTGCGATGTGGAGGAGGGGGAAACTCTTCAGACACCTTGACCCTGAGAACCTCCCCACCAGCCCCTGGAGCACTGACTTCCACCCCAGGCACTCTGAGAGGTGTCACCCCCACATCCTGACCCTTCCTCTCCCTCTCCTCCCACTGCAGTCCCCAGCTCAGCTGTCACACCCCCGGAGTCACCCCAGTCGGATTCCCTGGGGTCCACCTACTCCATCAATGGGCTGCTGGGAATTGCTCAGCCTGGCAACGACAGCAAGAGGAAAATGGATGACAGTGAGTGTCATGAGGCACAGGTGGGGAGCTTGAGGGGGTGGGTACAGGTAGGCACTGTGCACAGGCTTTGATGGAAGAAGCCCCTCCCTTTATTGCCCAGGACTTTATGAGGGCCTTGCCAGTCCCCACGTGCACAGTCACGTGCCCTGTCTCTTAACTGGCCATGCCCCAGGCACAAGCATCTGGGCCTTTCCCTCCCTCCTCAGCTGGACTGCTGCTTCATGTTAGCGGGGAGGGGGTGGTTGATAGGTTCCCTGAAAGCCTTCTTCCTGTCGGGGGCACCAGGTGACCAGGACAGCTGCCGACTGAGCATCGACTCGCAGAGCAGCAGCAGCGGGCCCCGGAAGCACCTTCGCACGGATGCCTTCAGCCAGCACCATCTTGAGTCGCTTGAGTGCCCGTTTGAGCGACAGCACTACCCGGAGGCCTATGCCTCCCCCAGCCACACCAAAGGCGAGCAGGTGAGAGGCCGGGTATGGGAGGTGAGCAAGAGTGGGCCAGGGCGGGATGGAGGCAAGCTCTCCTCAGGAACCTGGCAGCAAAGCGGTTAGAAGTTGCTTCAGTGGCTCAGGAGCCATGTTCATGTAGTCCCAAGCCTGACACAGGCTTTATTTTACCAGATGCCCTGGCCTCCTTCCTCTCCTCTCTACCCTCTTGCCTTGCCTCACCTGAGATTTTGCAACTGGCCCTTTCAAGAAGGTGCCGTCTTTCTGCCATCAGGATAACATCCCATACTGTGGAGTGGTGGTTGAATCTTCCCCATGATGACTGCCTCACCAGGCTGCTCCCCTGGCACACCCCATGAACCAGCATTACTCATGTCCCCAAGCATGCCGGCCTCGTTCACACCTCTCTGCCCTCGAACATCGTGTGCCCTCCTCAACGAATACCTTTCCTCCCATTCTCTGCCTGGAAAAATACCACACAATCGGTATGACTCAGCTCACTCACCCTCTCCACCAATCTGTCTCTACCCCTCAGACATGACTCATCCCTCCCATTCCCGGACCCACATGCCCCTCACGCAGCTCCTAGTGACTCTCATGGCACCTCTAATAATGTAGTGGACAGAGCGTGAAGGCAGCGGACTTCTTACAGATGGGCCATCCTCTTGAGGCATCTTTATCTCCAGCACCTAACATTGTGCTTCTCTTTTCATAGCCACTTAATCAGGGTGTGTTGAATGGATGAACAGATGAATGAGTTAAGAAATCCAGAACCATAAATCACAAGCTGTACGAAGCTTTTCTTTCCAGTGCTCAGCACAAGAGAAACAGGTTCTAGTGGGTTGGCTTTTGTGAAAAGGTGACGGAGAGGTGAGAGGTCCCTTTCTGAGGCCAACAAAATCGCTACAACAGTGACAACCACTGAGCTCTCAATTCATTATTATCTATCCATGGTTTTGGTGTCTTTCTCCCCCTTGTTCCACCAGATGAACTCGCTAAGGAGTATCTAGGGTGTGATCCATTGCTCCCTTTGCTTATACTATCATTTTATCTAGAAGTGAGGCCATCCTAAACGTTCACCTTTAAGTTCTGAGTAGGACAATGGCATTGATGCCAATAATCAGCTGAACTACTGCCAGTGACTGGCTGGGCTGCTGGTCCTGTGCCAGCCCCTGCAGCTGAGCAGGCAACCTGCGTCAGCGATTTTATCAACTTTGGCTGTGAGAGCTACAAGGGGTGCAGAGAAAGCTGGCCATCAGCGAAGCCGGGGGGAAGGCCTGGGTGTTCATCCGAGTGAGGACAGGCTCCAGGAGGGATGTGGGGCCTTGGCAGTGCACCTGCAGGAAACCTTCTCTGCGAGAGTGAGCCTGCAAAGCCCATGCACCAGCACCAGCCACCCTAGGAGAATCAAGAAAACTTCTGATGAGACCCTGGGCACCTGCTGGGTCCCAGAGCCATTTCCTGGCTCCACCCATAAGCCCCCTAAAGGACCTTCATGGTTATAGAGAGCCCCTGCACCATGCTGGGGGATACACACATGGTGAATCCTGGAATGAGAGGCTCTGAGAGCAGACATGAGATCTTAGAGACCTCAGTGACCACCTACTTCCTTGTTCCCATTCATGTGGTGATAACTTAAGGCGAGGGCCTCAGGCAGCACTTGGGGAAGCAGCTCTTGGCAGAGCTGAGGTGTGGGAGCCCTGGTGTCATGCAGATGGATCGACATTTACCTGTCTTAGCATTGGTGTCTCCATGTATTCTTGTTTGAAGACAACAAAATGAAAGCATTTGGAAACCCCTGAACTGCTCCAACCCCTCTCTACTGAGGAGGGAAAAGGAGGCCTCATGGTTATCTTCTCCCTCACTCATTCATTCACCTGACTGGGTGGGAAGGGGCACAGAGAACCCAGCCTGTGCCAAGGGCTCATTAAGTCTAAGCCCTTGCCTTTCTATCGCTGGTGACTGACTGTGCTGCCTCAGTAACGTGGTGTTCTCTCATCTGGACACTGGAAGGCCCTCTGGCTGAGGAGCCAAGAAAAACGCACAGATACTCACACCTGGCCTCAGCACGGGGCAAAGACACCGGCTTCTTGCTGGGAAATCAGCTAGGGGAAAAGTGTTCCACAGAAACGTCAGGTGGCCTCATTCCTGGTTGCTGTTTTATCACTGGGCATAGTTAGGAGTCCTTATACCTTTTCTTCTTGTATTTTACAAATCTATCAAAATTAACAAAATGTGAATATTATGATGACAGAGTTCAAAAATTTGGCAGCTTCTGACTCTTCCCATAATCCTAAAATATCACCTGTCATAACCACTTTTTGAGCATCTGTTATCACCAAGCATTCTGTGCTGAATGCTTTATATCAGTATTGTACATAAAAATCTCATTTAATCTTACATCAGTCTTGGGAAGTAGATTCTATGATCCCCCTTAATACAGGTGAGAAAAACAACACTCTGGAAAGTCAAGCAGACTAAACCTACTTGGCCAATCATTATCGAAGCAGAACTTTAAGTCACCCAAGTTCTGAAAGTATTGTGCCACTCTGTCCCCAATTCAAGTTCCGTCCCAGAAAAACAAATCCAGGCATCACGGTGCTATTTACACCATTTAATGCAACATCCCCAAAATGTTAGAGTATAGAAGTTTCTTTTTTAAAAAATTTTTTTTCTGAATTATGTGGAACAGAAATTGAATTTTTGAGTAAATATTTTGATATTAAATCCAACACATCCATTGGCATTTTAAACTTTCTTACACTCTCTAGAAATTAGGTATTTTGTTCAATTTCATTAAGCCAGGCTCTCAGCATCTCCACTCTGCCTCTAAGTGGGCCTCCTCGGAAGGCACAGAACCAGAGCACCATTTAGTCAGTAATTGCTGCTTCATGCTGATGATGCCCTGGTGGCCTTCAGAATAGACTGCAGCTTCCAAAAGTGCCCGGCATGCAACCAAAAAGTGCTGTGGCTCCTTGGAGAATCCAGCTCCATGGAAATCACTGAAAGCGATTGCCTTTAATAGACCTATTATGTAACCACAGAGCATTCCTTGATTTCAGTTTTCTACACTGTTTCATACAGTGCAAAGTTGGGGGGGTGTGTGACCTGTATGTGGGGAATGCATTGTGCTGTCCCTCCCTGATGGAAGGGAGTTGTGTGGGGGGTATACTCCTGCTTTTAGTTGACTAAGTTCTTTCTTAAAGAAACTCTGTAGGTCATAGCCATGCTCATGGTAGGGAAAGTCCATTGGACTCTAGAATGAGACCTTACTGAACAAAACCCACAAGCACTTGGTAAAGAGGTTTTCAAACAAAATTAACTCCAAGCTACTGGTTTGAACTCACAAGCTTCTATTTGCTTGGGTTTGTAGTAGGAGAAGAAAAGAGACATCTATTCTATGGACTGGCGCTTCTGAAATCCTCGTTGCTACATACTGAACGGGACTTTTATCTTCTGTGGTTCAGGCTCTGGATGTACAAAACAGACATCTTTCTCATCCATGTCACAGGGCTCCTGAGGGGACCTGATGAGAATAACTGAGGCAAAGCCTTAACGTCAGCTTTTCGCTGTCATCCGATTTAGGGCAGCAGCTAACAGCAGAGGCACTGAAGTCTCAGTCCCAGCTGCACTCCTCACAGGAAGGCGATGAATTTCTTGACCTCTCTGTGTCTGCATTTCCTATCTGGAAAGGAATAAATTAATAGTTGAGCCAAGGACTTGAACACTCCTAGGGATGCCTGTTCAGCCCTTGGCACTGTCTTGTACTCTAGACCCAAACTTTGTGCAGAGATGACAGTGGCTCGGTCCACCTAAGTCATGGTTCTCTAAAGGACACGCGCCATCCCAAACACGGCTCCCAGGCTGCCAGCCAAACTTGAACTCTGGGACTGGGAGAACAGGGTTTTGAGTTGAACAGAAACCCATTCAATATCAAGCAGTGCCGAGAATGAACAGGAGGAAGGAGATGAGGAAAGGAGCTTCTCCAGGGAGATTAGGGTCACCAAGTCCAAAAGACAGGATACGGGGTATGCAGGAGGACCGGGTGCTCCAGGTCCGGGGAACTCTGCCCTGCTGACTTCCCTTTCTTTCCCAGGGCCTCTACCCGCTGCCCTTGCTCAACAGCGCCCTGGATGATGGGAAGGCCACCCTGACCCCTTCCAATACGCCCCTGGGGCGCAACCTCTCGACTCACCAGACCTACCCTGTGGTGGCAGGTAGGACTCCCAGGGGCTCCTGGGCCATCTCCACCCAGCTGTGAGGGCGGGCTGGAGGGCCGGACAGCAGAGCTGGCTGGCTGTCAGGACAGCGGTGCAGGGGCCCTGGCCCGGAGACCGGAGGCGGGCTGTACTGGCTGTGCCTCGAGGTGGGACCAAGGGCAGTGCCTTCAGTCCTAGGCCCGCCGCCGGGTCTCCCGGCCCCTCCTGCTGGGCAAGCTGGGCACTCACGCTGCTGCCCCTGCTCTGCGCTGGAGAGGGCACGGCGGGGGTGGAGCCTCGGCTCCCCCCCCACCTGAGAATCACCTGTAGCCCCAGCTCTGCCCCGCCCCAGCTGCCCGGCCTGCCCGCCCCGCCCGCCGCACCCCTCCCCACATCTCATGGCTTGGTGTGTGCATGTTCCCGCCCCGTCATCTCACACCCCTCTCTCCTTGTTGTCTCCCTCCCTCCGGCAGATCCTCATTCACCCTTCGCCATAAAGCAGGAAACCCCCGAGCTGTCCAGTTCTAGCTCCACCCCTTCCTCTTTATCTAGCTCCGCCTTTTTGGATCTGCAGCAAGTCGGCTCCGGGGGCCCAGCCGGCGCCTCGGTCCCGCCCTTCAATGCCTTTCCCCATGCTGCCCCCGTGTACGGGCAGTTCACGGGCCAGGCCCTACTCTCAGGTACGACAGGGACGTCCCGCCGTGCAGCGCCGCGTGGGCGGGGGGGAGGTCCGCAGTGCCAACCCAGGGTCCCCTGTTTTGGGCTGAGCCCCTCCTATAGCCCCTTGTCCTATCCATCGCCAGCCACCCTGTTACCTACTTAGTTCTGCCGGTGCCGGGCGTGGGTCCCAATGTCTGCGAAATTCGGCATCCGAAGGGGCAAACACTTTTTTGGGGGGTGCCATAAAGTGGGGTGCACCACCCCAAGACCCCACGGAAGAATAGCGACTTTAAGAGAAGGTGCCAGGTGCTATGATGTGGGACCACTCGGCCTCGGCTAGAAAGCAAAAGAGGAAAACTGGAGGCAAAAAGGCATTGGCCTTTAAGCCAACTTCTGCATCAAATTCCTAAAAAAGAAATGAAAATCTGGGCCTGTCCGGCCTCCATAATGTAGCTATCTTCATACCCAGCAGAATGACAGCACCAGTGAAGGACGCCAGGGTTTTTCAATATCACCTCAGAGTGACTGGACAGCTTGGGGCGGGGGGCCCACAGGAACCTCATCTGCTTCAAACCGTGGAAAGCTGTAAGCAAATTAGGTGTTTATGGAGCAGACTCTTTCCTTACACTATGGAAGAAGCAGCCCCAGCAAGGAGGCGGAGGGCCTAACCAAAGCCTGGTTGGGAACATGGTGTTCCACAGGGTGAGGGCTGGGCCTGCACCCCAAGGGTCAGACTTCAGGTACAGCCTAGCAGAGCTGAGTCTCACTAATAGATGGACATTGTCTCTCCAGCCAGGGCTTTAGTAACTGCTGAAAGAGTCAAGGTTTGGTCCGGACACAGGCAGAGATCTCTAACAGTCTTCAAATATCTGAAGGGTTTCCATAGAAATGAGACTTTGGCCTGAACCCTGAAGGGGTCCAAGGACTGAGGGAGGAAGTGAGATAGCTTTTAGTTTGGCATCAGTGAAGCCTACTTCATGTTAGAGTTGTCTCCAAGAAGTGTGGGTCTTTAGTGATAGCTGATTCCCCTCGGCCCCCTGCTCCCTACCTAACCACCTTGAGATGCTAGAGCAGAGGCCAGTGGAGGGGGGCAGGGCCCCGGTACAACCAGGAGTCAGACAGGCCAACTGAAACAGTGGTTTGGGACATGTTGGGCCATGCAAGATATCTGGTGTGCTGCCCCAGAAAGCCCTTGGACTTGGAAACCAGTGCAGCAGAGAATCAGGACCTCTGCCAGCCCAGAGAAGCGCAGGTCCTCTGATGCAAGTCCATGGTACCTTCCTTATAACCAATGGTAAATTCTTTCTGTCTGGCACCTCGGATTGTCTCACTAACAGATGGATATTGTCCTGGCCAGCCAGGGCCTGAGCAATGGCTGAAAGCGTCAAGGTTCTCTTCTCTGTGCATCCCTGTCTAATGCAGGAGGTTCTCTTGGTAGAGGTGGACACCCAGAGTGTGGGCAGAGGGGCTATGTTCAGGGGTCTGAAGCAATGAAAATGTTGACTCAATTTGAAACTTCAAGAGGACGAAGTCAGCAGAGAGAGGTCACTTGTTTTGACCAAAGTGATTAAAGGAGAAAAATCTGAGCTGAGTGAATTTGTCAGGCCCAGGAAATGGGATGGGGGAGGGTAAAGGGAAAGCAAGGAGAGGCGCTTGTCCGCTGTGGGGTGGACAGGCTGCATCACAGCACGCTTGTGTGTCTTGTGGGAGTGGCAGCCACGGCTGGGGTCTGCGGCCATCAAGTCAGCCATGAAGGTACGGTTGAAGCACACGGTAAAGGGAGGTCTGGCAGGACCGGCTGAGAAGAAAGGGAAGGACAGGCAGCCCGTGGAAACTAGGGTGTGAAGTAGAGTTGCAGTAGCCCAGAACGAGTGCCTTGACCCTTCTGCACCCACACTGTCTCCCTGTGTCAGTCTTTTAAGGCTGCAAGTATCCCTGTCAACATGCAGTCAGGGTGATGCTTCCAACTTCTGTCAGCTGCTAATTTAGTGGACAAGCCCACTCTGCAGCACAGCTACAGGACTAGGAAGTCATCCAACCCATGGGACAAAGCAGTGGAAGCAGATACCAGGTGGTCACCAGGCAGCTGACAGCCAAATACACAGCACTGGATGTCCTACAGGCAGGTGGTCTCTAAAGCCAGGCTCTGATGATGCTGAACTGCCAGTGTGAGGATCTCTGAAGTCCAGCGCTGGCTCAAGGGTGGCAGATTCAGCACAGAGGGAGGCTTTTAAGAAGAGCAAAGAGTGGGCAGGCTTGCAAGGACTTGGGTCCAGGCAAATGGCCAAGATGAGGAAGCAAGTCAGGACTATAGTTCACTGAGCTGAGCCCAGTCCTGCAACTCAGGGACAAGGCAGATGATAGCTATGTCCCTGCTGAGCCTGAGATGTTGGCCTGGAGCTCCATACAGACTCTCCACCTGAGGCTTCTGGTCAAGATTGGACCTAAATACTTAACACATGGCTGGCCTCTGGAGGGAGGGATGGGAGGGTAGGGAATGACAGGTTGGGGGAAGGTTAGGAAGAGAGTGAGCCCAAGAGTCTGGGGACTACAATCTCTCTGCGGGGGGAAGAGGTAGATGTAAAAGGAAACAAGACCAAATAACTCCTAAGAAGAGCTGCAAACAAGGACAGAGGAAGGAGGACCCAATGAGCTTTCGTTTCATAATCAGCTCAGCTGTAACCTCCATGAACCTTCCCAGCTCCCCTCCTCCTTATGACCTGCTAAGACCTTCCTGCCATCTCCAGCAACTCCTTTCCCTGCTTCATAGAATTTCTCTGAGTCACTTTCTCAACCCAGTGGCTCTGATAGCAGCATTTCCAGCTTCTCCCCAGTCATCCAAGCAAGAGGAACCCGTAGGGTTTAGGAAATAATCAGATGGCTCCTAAGACGCCTCTCGGTTCCCTTCAGACATCCTGGGGTGGATTCCCACACACTGGCCATGAGAGTGACATCAAGGCTGTCCTTGTCCTGGCTGCTCCAAGGCTGATTCCAGCTCAGCTGATCAGAAAGCTTGGAGTTAGGTTTTATCATCAAAGAGTCCATTATCCTCCTCCATCCTTTTGTCCAAAATTATATTTAGTCCTGCCAGAGAGACTTCTGGGTTGCCATAAATTCTCCTTGCTATCAGAAGAAGATAAGGAATTGAAAAGAGGTTACATAGAGGGCAGACATCAAAGGGGGCAAGTGAAATAGTCTGAAGTCACTTCTACTCCCTGAATTCTCCAGCGCATGGCTTTCTGGTGATGCTCTCTACTACTACTGAGATTATTTACCAGTCGCTCTGGGGTGCTAGGGTTTCTGTAGAGAACACCACTTTACATCCACCCAATGGGGCCCAGGTCTATGTCAACTTCTTAAAAATAGGCCCATGTTGGAAGTTTTTTTGAGTGCAGAGCAATGCTAAATTTTTGTGATGAAAACCTCTCTAAAACCAGAGAGGTGGGTAAGAGGGCATGTCAGGCCATGACGATGGAGTATCGCCAGCTCATGGCTTCTGTTATTTTGTTTCTGAGAAGGATGCAAGGTTCTTGGCTTTCTGGAAGAAATGTTTTTTTTTCCAGGGCTGGTAAGGAAGCCCAGACTCTCATGCTCGTTCATGCTAGGCAAGCGCTGCACTACTGAGCTCCATCCTCAGTCCAAGAAATCATTTTTCAAGGAGTCAGGACAGAGTTAGGGCAGAGTGTTAGGACAGACGGTGGTAGTACAGTGTGGAGCTGTCCTAGAGAAAGCTTTACTGGAGGGTGGGTTTCATGGGGGGAACCCTCAGGGGTCTGCTCTGGTGTTTAATTCAGCAATCTCTACCACCTGGCAGAAAATTAGGGACTAAAGGGAGATAAAGATTAAAATCTCTGAATACAGGGACAGGAGCCCAGAAAGTCTGTTTGCAAGAGCAAGGTGCGGGCAGAGCCCAGCAGGTGGACTGTGGATCAGGCTGTGGCCCGAGGGGCAGAGGAGGGAGTCTGTGCCCTGGAACCTTGGCTACTAGCTTCCTAGCTCAGAAAGCCCCAGGGTCAGGTAATAGAAAGTGATCATTTGTGGCCAGAAAGGAGGGGAGTTTGGGAACACAGGCTGCCGGGACAGAGGAGCCCTGGGGAGCACTGAGTCAGCACTAGCAAACAGATGGCCAGAGAGCTGAGATTCATGTCCCACTGCACACCCCCAGTCTTGGTAGACACAGATGCGGTCTCAGAATTCTCCACGCAGTGCACCAGGAAGCCCCCCAATCCACCTGGAAAGAAGGCAAACCCGTTATAATCTCTCATCTAAATTAGGTTCTCATGTGACAGACAGGAAAATGTGATTTGGAGAAATTGATTTGTCCCTCATTCATAGTCTGGCTTAAATGTAGATTCCCCTCCTTCCCTCCCTTCCTCTCTTTTTCCATCCCCACCCCCACCCCTGGAAGTAGGAAGTAGGGGGTAAAGAGGAAAGGAGAAGATACCAGGCCTGAACCAGCCACCACCCTCCCAGATCTCTTCCTACCACGCCACCATCCACCCCATATCTGTACGGCTTCTGTCACAGACCTCATGTCACTCCTTTCCTCTCAGGCCCCAAGGCCTGGCTGGGTGCTTCCCCAAAGACGAAAAAGGCTAAGTGTGAAGGCTGATCACATTGTAGTCACATTCACTTGAAGCTCTGCTTACCCCTTGGCATAACTTCGGCCTGTTTCTCCTTCTACTTCTAAGTATACTAAAGTTTTCTTTTCCTAACCTGTTTTCTAGCCCTTCGTTTGTTCCTCTCTCCACCCTGTGTCAGGTGAACAGCACCCACCTGTAGAATTCCAGTGAGTTCCACCCTGTTTTGTCCAGTACCAACTATAGCTGGACACGGCAATAAGTCAAGCAAATTAGAGGGTGGTGTTCAGCATTTCAAAACCTTCATGCAGTTTTAAATAATGCACACTGACAGCTCTTTTCAAAGAGGACTTATTTTATAAGAGTTTCGCTAACATGACCAATTCCAGAATGTATCAATTGTACTAATCAGTGTTCATCTATGGCATGAAACCCTGGGTTTGAATTATGCTAATAATAACCTGAGAGTGATAGTAATCAAGTGTGTAAGGTTACTCTTCTTTTTACCCATTTTGACTACAGAGAAAACAGAAAACAATCTGAGCTTATATAACTGCCTGGTCTAGGCACATGTAAAATTAGCCATAGAAGCAGAATAAGGACGCTTAGACTCTTCCCTCTAGAGGAAGGGCAGAAGTTGCTCATTGACCCCTTTTGCTTAGTTCCAAATCTCAGCCATAACCCATCATGACTTAGTTCTGGGCCTTGATTTCTGCTCCATCCCCAAGTGTTTAGAAAAGTGCCTGGGTATTGTAATTACTCTATACACATTTTTTGAATGAACTGATTGTCCTTGGAAATCTCCAGAGAAAGAAGTAAGGAACCAAAAGTCATGGTGGTATTGACAACTTACAGGGTTTCATGGGACAAAGCTCCCATCCGCATTACCAGGGACCCCTCCAAGGGGACGAGGTGTGGAGGGCCTGGGTAGGGGCATAATGGGAAGAAAGCTGGATAAGTAGTGTTGTAGAGGAGTAATTTTGCCGCTACTTCATCCCCACTGGGGACACATGGCAATGTCTGGAAACATTTTTGGTTGTCATGGTGGGTAGGAACTTCTAGTGGAATCTAGTGAGTAGAGGCTAGGATTGCTGCTAACCATCCTACAGTGCACAGACCAGGCCCACAACGAAGCTCTCACCAGCCTAGATTGGGATTGAAGAAACTCTAGAACATCACCAAGAAGTAGGATGATCAAATGACTCATCATTCAAACTGGAGCATTTGGGAACGAAATGGGTGTTGTTAATAAATATGCTAGGACATGTGTCATCATCTTACCAAGAACTTTGGGATTGAGGCACAGTCTGACCTGGAGCTGCAGAACATAAGGGTGATGGAAGAGAAAGAGGCAAGGGATCCTGGTTGTTGGGTGGGGGTCAGTGAAGAGAAGGTTGCCAAGTCAGGTGGTATCTCCTAAATGTGAAGCGTACACTTCCTGACATATTGAAGAGATAGAGCCAGGAAGATGTGATCTTTACAGAGCGCATTGGTGTCACTAAAATGTGAGATAAACCTGTTTATCTCAGGTAACAGATACCTGTTTTCCTGAAAGTGATTTTTATTTTTTATTTATTTATTAATTTATTTATTTATTTATTTTCAGAAAAGGAGTTGACAGATGTGTGGCTCATGGTCAAACATCTGTCAGCCCTGTCTCCTTTTAGCCAGTAGGTTCCCTGTCCCTTGTAACTCTGGTAGATTCTATCTACCTGGGAAGCCAGGCCAAGGAGTAGGATTCTCTCCCTGGCTCCCTGGAAAAGGGTGTAGTGGTTGATTAGAAATGTCTGCTACAGGCCCAGACAAGAGGAATAGTGGGCCAGAGGGTCACACACCTGCCACCCCTTCACCAGGCCTTATTCTTACGTCTCTGCAGAGCTAGAGTTGAAAGGGATCCTCAGAGTTAAGTGATCTGTAGTGCATTTATTTCAGTCAGCTGTCCCTTTTGTTATGTTGGGTTGGAGGATAAGGAAGACTGGAAGACACAGCCCTGTCTCCAACACATATTTTTGTGAGTGACTAAAGTAACGTGTAAATGAAGCCGCTGCAGGACAGGGAAGGAAGCAGGACTTCAATAGAAAGTGATCCCTGCATGGTGTCTTCCTCCTGCCGGACAAGACAGGAATTTGGGCTCAGAGAAAGAGGGAGGGAGTTCAGAGAATGGCTTTGAAGAGAGTGGGAATAGCAAGAGAGAAGACTTGCTGGCCTCAGGAGAATGTGGCAATAAGCGCAGGAAGTCCCCATAGGCCAACTGATGACTCTGTTGTATTTTTTCAGGGCGAGAGATGGTGGGACCCACGCTGCCCGGATACCCACCCCACATCCCCACCAGTGGACAGGGCAGCTATGCCTCTTCTGCCATCGCAGGCATGGTGGCAGGTAAGGGGAAGGTTGGGCAGGAGGGGAAGTCCTATAAAGAGCAAGTGTTGGAGAGAGGGGGCAAGTGGGAACATGAGGCAGGTTGTGTCTCATTCGTGGTCTTCCCAAAGGGCATTGATCAGGCAGACGCCTTCTTATAAATACCTACAGAAAATGCTGCAGGGCCATTCTGGCTTCTTTATTCATCCCAGCTCAGTGCTCTTCTTCCCATATCTCTCACACTCCCCACCATGAAGAAGAGAGAAGGGCAGAGACAGACCTAATTTCAAATCCAACCTCCTCCATCTCTTCCACCCATTCACTAAGTACATTCAAACACTGAGCCAAACGTGAGCTCAAGCAGCTCATGGTCTCCCAGTGACTTCACCCTGATGGACCTCAGCTTCCCTTTCTGAAAGATCAGAAGTGAACAGTGGTGGTGATGAAATGATTGAAATATATTGCCCTTCACCTCCCACATTCACGCGATGCCCATAAGCGGAATACGGTTCCTGGGGATTCTGGGGATTCTCTAAAATATGGGAAGAACTGAGAATGTTTTCCCTGTCGTTATTTGACTGCCCTAGAATGCTTCCTGTCAGTCTTTCAGATTTGTCTGTCACAATCATCCAGTGGTCAGAATGTCAAGGTCCAGACAATAGAGACAATGGGAATTTCTTTGGGAAAATCTCACTTTTAGGAGCCATTTGGGTAAGGATCTTGGGATGGATGGGATAGGAGTGAGCTATTTCCACTATCCAGCTAGGTCTTGGGGCCCGGAGCTTTGGACAGGGCTCTAGGCTGAGGGCAGGTGTGCCCCACATTCCAGGGCTGGGCCAGCCTCCCTGACTGCCCCAGAAACTGGCTGCCTTCACCCAGGTCTGCTTCCCCATGACAGGGGTTAATTTTTGCCAGCCACCCACTGTAGGTACCCAGTACAGAGGCAGGTGGGCTGAGCTGTCCTGGGCAGAGAGAGAGAGAAGAGGGGGGTGCTCAGTGCTCCCTGGGAACCTGCTGAGCTGGCACTTGTTGCTGCCTGGTTACCGTGGCGATGTGCTTAATGCAGCGTTGAAAATACAGAATACTGACTCCTCTCTCTCTCCTGGCTCCAGACTCCCTCCCTCCCTCCCTTCCTCTTCTGGACCGTGAAATGAGATTGGTCAAGATAAAAAAGGAAAAGATTCGGTTATTTTTTTAAGAGTGTGGATAATGGGGCCTCTCAATCAAAATCCCAGACTCCAGTCGGCTCCCCCCACCCCCTTCCACCCCCTCCACCTTGCCCTGCTGCCCGCTTAGAGGAGGAGGAAGACATAGAAAGCACAAAGCTTGGCTCTTAATTATGAATCATTCCCTGAGGGCAGGCCCAAGGTAAGGGGTTCCTGGGACCCAAAATCTGACCTGTGAGGTAGCTGGAAAGCTTGGGGCTTTCGTCAAAGGCCCCCAGGTTGTTTCCAGAAAGCCTTCATCCCAGTGGGTGCTGGGAAGAAAACACACCACACACACAGACACACACACACACACACACACACACACACACACACACACACACAGAACTACCACATTGATTGTAGTGAATCACAAAAGGGAGGGGCTTTGCCTTATACAGCAGATAGACTCCCAGTCAGTTGCATGTAAATTCATTTTCAGAAAATGCAACGCTACTTAAATGAATTACCTGGTTCCTAGGAATACCCTTGTGCAAATGACTTCTTAAAGGCTCTTATTGTGGGAAAATTATGTGTCCATCTCTTACCACTGCTTGTGATCTCCCAGTTAACTGAAATGGGAATTCCCTCAATTAAAGTAAAATAACTTGATGAGTACCCGCTGCGTCCATGCAAGGTGCATAATAAATGCTTAAAGAAAAACATACCAATGGCATTCCACATGATCAGTTGTGGAAAGGAGGAAGTGATTATTTATTATCCACTTCTGCATGTCTAGCCGTTTACACATACAACTTTACTTCTCATCTAATCCTCACTATAAGACTGAGAGGCTGATATCATCCTAGTTTTTTGTTGGTGGTTTTTTTTTTTTTTTAATCATCCCAGTTTTACAAGTAAGGAACTGGAGACTTAGAAAAGCAAAGTAGTACTCTCAGGGTCATAGCCATGCTAAATTCTGAGTTGTTCACACAGGTCTTTTAATTTCAAATCTAAGGCTCTTTCCACTTCACCGTCCTGCCTCTCCCCATATTAGAAATAAAGACAAAAACTATAGAAAAGCAACACAGGAAAAAGACCAGGACAGATTTCTCATATCCATTTGCCTTCTGTTGTTCTAATCTCTCTCTCTCTCTCTCTTTCTCTCTCTCTCTCTCTCTCTCTCTCTCTCTCTCTCTC